ATAGAGGGAGCAGATATTCTCAATGTTAAGAATATTTGTTAAATAACTTACAGTTTAAGCAAAACGAGCATTCTCAAAGTAGAATTTCCAAAGCCATCAGGGAATGAATAACTAAGAGCAGTGACAAGGAAGATTACAGTCACTGATCCTGTGTCAGTAAATGCTGAGTTTTGCTTAGTTTTTTGAAAAAGAAGTTAAACAAATGGGGAGGTGTTGAAAATTGAAGCCATACTGGTGACAACGTGATTCTTAATTGTTTTACTTTCAATAATTAAAGAATGGGAAAAAAAGGAACATTGACATTTTGGGGAATTTAGTGCTACATTCATTTGTCAAATTTAAATCTTTTACATTGAAGTTATTTTTTAAATTTAGATATTTTTACTTTTCAACATTACTGTGTCTGATTATTAGGAGTAATATTTTACGCAGAATCAATTTCATTTGTCTCTGATAAAATGAAAAGATTAAATTTAATTTCAAATTTCAAGACTTAGATGCCAGACACTATATTCAAGTCAATTGTTAGTTTTCTTCATTAGTGCCTGTTGTGGTAATAACCTACAAAAAGCAGACAAGGACATGGTTTCAATATTTTGTTTTAGCTACCATTACATACTCCATAAACCTAGAAAGTGTGCCCAGACTATTTTGAGGGATGTGAACTGATAACAGGCCAGTTCCTTATTTTTTACTGTTCTAAAATTTATACTGAACGATGTTCAATAAAATGCATGTAACAACTTCAAATATAACAAGCAACACTGAAAATGAGATATATGGGCTAAAATATTTGCAGCTAAATAATGAGTTTCTATGAAGCCTATTTTTGAATGGATGACTGAGCAATATAGAGGCAGGAATATCTTCCAATTATAAAGAAAAATGTTTTGGCTATTTTTTTTCTGATTCAGTATTTTATTTAACAAATTTCTCAAGAGTGATTTTTGCAGCAATTTCCCTCCACTTTTCACTTTAAGATTCTTATAAGCAATTATCAGTCATTTCTCCTTCAAACCCATTGAGGGTACCAGAGCAAGTAAAGCCCAGAAATAAGGACAGTGTAGAAAAAGTGACCGTGAATAGAAACCAAAAAGCTAAGCAGCATGGAAGTGAAGCTGGAAAACAGTAAAGTATCACACGAGTTTTTCTCTTCCAGCTTTTACATATAAATACAGACAGGCTCCGACAAAGGTCAAAGTGTAGCATAAGAGGTGGACATTCAGCAAATAAGAAATACAAAGCATCCATAACTTCACATAATGTATTTCAGACAATTTTACTTCATTAGATATGGAACATTTGCTAAGATGAAATATTTTGAGATTCAATTAACTGTGTCCCTACTAACTGTCACAACAAACATCAGAAACCTCAATTTTTAGAGAAGGATGTATCTGAAGAAGTTACTCACAGAGACAACAGCAAAATCAACTACCTGAGGCTGAATATAACCATCCTCTTCCCCTCCTCTAGGTAGCAAAGAAGAAATGCAAGCCACCGACAACCTCACCTCTGTGCCTGGGAACAGCAGTCTGTGCACCAGAGATTACAAAATCACCCAGGTCCTCTTCCCGCTGCTCTATACTGTCCTGTTTTTTATTGGGCTCATCACAAATGGCCTGGCAATGAGGATTTTTTTCCAAATCCACAGTAAATCTAACTTTATTATTTTTCTGAAGAACACAGTCATTTCTGATCTTCTCATGATTCTGACTTTTCCATTCAAAATCCTTAGTGATGCCGAACTGGGAACGGGACCACTAAGAAGCTTTGTGTGCCAAGTTACCTCTGTCATATTTTATTTCACAATGTATATCAGTATTTCATTCCTAGGACTGATAACTATTGATCGCTACCAAAAGACCACCAGGCCATTTAAAACATCCAACCCCAACAATCTCTTGGGGGCTAAGATTCTCTCTGTGGTCATCTGGGCATTCATGTTCTTACTTTCTTTGCCTAACATGATTCTGACCAACAGGAGGCCAAGAGACAAGAATGTGAAAAAATGCTCTTTCCTCAAATCAGAGTTTGGTCTGGTCTGGCATGAGATAGTCAATTACATTTGTCAAGTCATTTTCTGGATTAATTTTTTAATTGTCATTGTATGTTACACACTCATTACTAAAGAACTGTACAAGTCATATGTAAGAACAAGGGGTGTAGGCAAAGTCCCCAGGAAAAAGGTGAATGTCAAAGTATTCATTATCATTGCTGTATTCTTTACTTGTTTTGTTCCTTTCCATTTTGCCCGAATTCCCTACACCTTGAGCCAAACCCGGGATGTCTTTGACTGTGCTGCTGAGAACACTCTATTCTATGTGAAAGAGAGCACTCTGTGGTTAACTTCCTTAAATGCATGCCTGGATCCTTTCATCTATTTCTTCCTCTGCAAGTCCTTCAGAAATTCCTTGATGAGTATGCTGAAGTGCCCCAATTCTGCAACACCTCCACCCCAAGAAAATAGGAAGAAAGGACAGGATAGTGGTGGTGACCCAAGTGAAGAGACTCCAATGTAAACAAACTGAGGAAATATTTCAACCTATCAGGATTTGGAACTCCTTAAAGAAAACCACTATGTAAAGACCTTAACACTGACTAAGCAGCAGCTGAGTTAAAAACAGTGACTCTTGAAACAAGTAATAGAAGACTACAAAAGTAATTTTCATTTACTTTTCTTGTATTAAAAGCTACCTTAGTGCTCGCTTCGGCAGCACTTATACTACAATTGGAACGAAAAGCTACCTTAAAATGTAGAAAAATAACCTAACCTGTAGCAAAACAAACTGCATCCAATCACCAAGCTGCATGCAAACCTACACAGAATTCATGATTTGCAGAGTTTTGGCAAAATGGGAAACAATATAATATTTACTATAATTTAAGTACTTCATTGATCACAATTTTTTAAGTAATCAACTAATGATCAAGCTGATATAATCTTCTGACCAAGACTAAGATATTTATTAAGACGTATATACATCCTAGTCCCCTAACCAAATCCTGGCCTATGGTGATACTTTTTATACAAATGTAAGCGAGATACACGAAGAATAATAACTACTAACTTTAAATTATTAGCAAAAACCTAAGGGATTTAAGCTAATTGAAATGGTATTTGACTGGAATGAATTTTTTAAATTGATAATAGAGATTTAAAGAATACATTTCCAATGAAGAGCAGAAATATCAAAGTCATTAAAATAGGAGTTACTTTTATGACATTCTAATATTTAAAAAATTATGAATACTTCCTTAACACTAGAGAAAAAGGATTTATTAATATTTTAACAGCTTCAAGTGGTTACGATACCGTCTTTGACACTTACCTTTATTAACTAGCTTCTAGAAAATACCTGCTGCTTGAGCTAATGAAATTCCCATTAATGAGAAAAATGAATTAAATATGATTACAAAGTTGCACAGTGTAACTAAGAGTAAAATTATCGAGCTGTTTGGAATTGCCTGTTTGTATTTGTGTGTATAACATAAAAAAAAAACTACATTAAACTTTAAATCACACTTTGTTGAAATTTCTTTGTTCAAAGGTATTAGATACCATGACTTACCTCCCCGTATACAACTACATCAGATCCATTTAAGAAAGGACTGCAGCCAACACTGTTCTAGTACATGCTACTCATGCTACTCTGCAAAGTCACTTCTGAAGATAATGTTTCACCTCAAAGTTCACATGCAAATGATAAAATAGGTCAGATTTATAACATGTAATCTGATTCCACACAAACCATATTCAATATTTTTAATATAAACAAAATATATAGCACATGTGGAAATACCCATCACTTATCACAATTAATAATCCTCAGAGGTGATTCTCAAACAGAAAAAGACATAGATACTGATATCCAAATATAATTCCAGAAGAAATAGAAAGGGTGGGATGCAGTATAATGAAGTTCGCTGAACTTCAATAATAATTTCATCCAAACCCTCCACAACTCCTGCTGAGCAAATTTTAGTTAAAAGCTGAACTTATTTAACTACCCAAATGCTATCTATTCCCAAGCAGCCACATTTCTGTCTTTGGCACGCCTACAAGCGAACATTGGAAACCACTGGAGGTGCACACAGAGGCGTGTATCGGAAAGATGCATATTCTATGAAGTGCTGGGACAAGCAGCAGCAGCCATTTCTGCCACGTAGACTAACAGTTCACTCTAATACCATTTTCATAAGTCTGCATGTTCTGGCAGAATACCAGAATATTTGAGCTGAAAGAGAATCTAGAGATCCACTACTCTAACTTTATTTTGTATATGAAAAAAACGAAGGGGGCAGACCTACTCTTCAACCCATCCAAGTCAGGGGTAGAGAGTGGATTAAAACTGACCACATCATAGTGCCATGGAGGTCAGATGTTGGGACGCTGCAGAGTAGACAGAAAAGTCTTTTTAGACTATACTAATTCACGGAGGTGACTATTTCCACAAAAGAGAGAAAAAAACAGAAATGCTAACAGTATTATGGTATTTTTATGAAAACAACTGTAAAGTATTTTGAGTTCTTTTTTGTGGGGGAGGGTGGCTGGTCAATATGGGGAACTGAACCTTTGACCTTGGTGTTATAGGACTGTGCTCTAACCAAGTGAGCTAAACTGCCAGCCATGTTTGTTTGTTTGTGTGTGTGTGTGTGTGTGCATAAAATATATATATTATGTATGTATATATGAAAATTTTACATTAAACTCTAAGTCACACTTTGTTGGGATCTCTCTATTCAAAGACATTAGACACAATGTAGTCCATATCAAACATCAAACAACCCATCCCAGACAGTTTGAGAGATCAGTACTTATAGTGTGCTCAGTATACATACAACATGTCACTATCTCCAGCTTTAAGCATTCTAATATACATAATAAATCCCGCATTTCACAATAACTTAAAAAAAAAAAAAGTGAAGCCAAATTTTGTAGACTCCGGTACAGAAGTGAAAAGCTCAGAATACAAGGCAACAAAATGTAGTCTTTCTCACAGCCTCAGTGACTTACAAGTCCTAAGGACGCTGGCTACTGGAACTTTCTCTCAGTGATTTCTTACAGTCTTTAAGCATTCTAATATACATAATAAATCCCGCATTTCACAATAACTTAAAAAAAAAAAAAAAGTGAAGCCAAATTTTGTAGACTCCGGTACAGAAGTGAAAAGCTCAGAATACGAGGCAACAAAATGTAGTCTTTCTCACAGCCTCAGTGACTTACAAGTCCTAAGGACGCTGGCTACTGGAACTTTCTCTCAGTGATTTCTTACAGTAAACATCTAAAGCAGGTATTGGCAAACCATAGCCCCCAGGCCAAATCCAAACCCACATATTTGTGTATAACCTGTGCTCTAAGAAAGCTTTTCACATTTTCAAATATTTGTGAGGAAAAAAAGTCAAAAGAATAATAAAATTTCATGTCACATGAAATTCATATGAAATTCAAATTTCAGTGTCCGTAAATAAAGTTTTTTTGGAACACAATCAAGCCTATTCCAGTTTTATCTACGGCTGCTTTTGTGCTACAACAGAGCTGAGTTGTTCTGAAGAAGACTGCTTGGCCCACAAAGCCTACATATTTCCTAAATGGCTCTTTAAGAAAAGAATTGGCAACCCCTGGACCCGTACTTCAAAAACAGGGAGAAAAACCCTTTGCGAAAAAAGAACCCTCTCTTCACACATCTAGGTGTTTCAATAGCTCTGCAGTGAAGACAGGTGATCTCTGTTGACCAGCAATGCCCAAGGTGGGATTAGGGATTACAGAACTGCCAGTGGGAGCTAAAAATGTAGAAATACACTTACTTATATATTTATATTTATATGGCACAGCTTTTTTTAACTGTAAGTTTCTAAATGTTTTAAAAGATGTATAACAACAGTGTTGGAGAAAACTACTCTTGATGGAATTATAAATTGGTACAACCTTTCTCGAAACCTACTTGAAAATATTCAACATTTTGATGCATAATGTTTGATCCAGTAATCCCACTTCTGGGAAACTTCCTACAAATATTGTAGGAATGAATGCATTAAAATATATGGACAGATATGTGCTCTACAGTATTACTTTTAATAAGAAAAACTGGAAATAAACTAAATGATCAACAGTAACACCTTAACTAAACCAGGGTAAATTTATATAGTGCAACCTTTTTTTTTTTAAATTAAGTCAGTCTAAATGTACTAACATGGATTGAACACAAAGTCAGTCTAAATGTACTAACATGGATTGAAACAAAGGTCTAATATGTAAATAAACATAAATATATATGTGCATATATACATTAGTATGTATACATAAAGGGAGTTAACTTCCACTTTCTACCATGTACCTATTTATATTTGAATTTTTAAACACATACTTTCTTTCATAATAAAAAATGTGAAACTAAATATTAAATGTTTCAGATAATATTGTGAATTTATTGCCTGTTTCTAGTTACATACAGAGATTTCCTAATATTGGTTTTATTTATAGAGATTGCTACATTTACTGTTAAACTGCATAACTTATTTTAGCTCATTATTACCACTTTTGGTTAATCTAATACGGAATTTATAAAACAATTTCTCATAATCTGAGAAAGTACCATGATATATTCTGATGGGGAATAAAGTCTTTTCCATGAGTATAGGAGTTCCCACTTCGACTGTCATCCCAAATGGAAGCAAATACTTCCTCATCTTTTCAGATATTATTTATATGGTAGTGTTTAGCCACATCAACAGGAACCCTTGGACTATTAACTTTGATCCAACTGATAAAATCCCAAAGGAGACTACAAATGGAAATAGTTTATTTCCATTTAGCAGGCTAATTTCTGTAACCTTTCACTGTATCTTCTTTGATTCACTCTTGACCATACTGCTTTGAACCAATTTATGTTTTCAACATCAAACCTCACTTTGTGGCATAAATTTTTGGAAGTCTGTTAAACTTTGTAGTTGCTTATATCCTATCACACATCAACCAGTAATCATCTCTCAATCAATCATCTCTCAGCTCAAGAACTCCAGAATTTGGTAAACAATTCCATACTCAGGCTATCTATGGCTTCAGGGACACAGGAGAGTGAGGCAGGTTCCAAGCACAGGCTCTGGAACGAGACTGTGTGGGTTTACAATGGCCTTGGGTTGCATGACTTCGGGAAAACTGCTTAATTTCTGCATTTCAATTCTCTCACCTCTAAATTGGAACTGATCTCTGAGGATGTTGTAAGGATCAAACATAATAATATGATCACTTAGAATACTATAACTAGTGTTTTTTATAAATTTTAACTATATTTCCTTGGAGCCTGATAGGATTCTAAATGTTTAGTTTATTCTTATGGCAGGCTCCTAATTTCGGGAAACTTTCATCGTATCTTCTTTGATTCTTCCCTCTTTTCATGAGATATCTCCACAGGTATACACAGTACCCAGTTTTCTTTTACTTTCATAAAAACAAGAAATTTAAATCAAACTTACCTGTAACAGTCCCTTTCTGTGGTTATAACATAAATACCTAAAACTGTGTAATTTATAAGAAAATGAAATTTACTGCTTACAGTTTTGGATGCTGGGAAGTCCACAGTCCAGGGAGCATATCTGGTGAGGGTCTTCCTTGGCAGTAATGCAGGGGTCTCACATGGAAGAAAGGCAGAGCAGAGAGAGACTCTCCTGTGCTCTCCTCAGAAAAAGCATTCAAAAAAATTCAACATCCCTTCATGATAAAGACTCCCAGCAAATTAGGTAGAGAACAGACGTATCTCGACACAATAAAAATCATTTATGACAAGCCCTCCCTGATATCATCCTGAATGGGGAAAAATTACAGACTTTTCCCTTAAGAACAGGAACAAGACAAGTTTGCCCTCTATTACCACTCCTACTTAACACAGTATTGGAAGTACTAGCCAGAGCGATCAGGCAAGGGAAAGAAAGAAAGGGCATTCAGACTGGAAAAGACAAAGTCAAACTGTCCCTGTTTGCAGATGACATGACCCTATATATAGAAAAACCTAGGGCCGGCCCGGTGGCGCACTGCGCTAGTGTGCCACCTGGGAAGCTCGGCGGCGCTCCCGCCGAGGGTTCGGATCCCACATACAGACCGGTTCCCGCTCACTGGCTGAGCGAGGCACGGGGGCAACGCCAAGGGTTGCGATCCCGTTGCCGGTCCCGGTCCGGTACGGGGGTGACACTGAGGGTTGCGATCCGTTGCCGGACACGGAAAAAGACAAAAAAAAAAAAAAAAGAAAAACCTAAAGACTCTACCAAAAAACTCTTAGAGCTGATTAATAATTTCAGTAATGCCACAGGATATAAAATCAATGTCCCCAAACCAGTTGTGTTTATATTCCCCAATAACAAACTAACAGAAAGAGAAGTCAAGAAAGTAAGCCCATTTACAATAGTAACCAAATAAATAAATTAACTAGGAACCAATTCAAACAAGGAGGTGAAAGATCTCTATGATGAGAACTACAAACCACTACTGAAAGAAACTAAAGAAGATACAAAAAGATGAAAAGACATTC